ATTTGTTATCTGCAAATATATCGAGAGAAAGTTCCTCAAACATTCCTCAAAATAAAAATACTCAAGCGCTCCCGAAATTCCTCACGTTTTGAGGAATTACTCGCAAAGTGGCAACACTGGTTTGCCGGGCATTGCTCTATAGAGGCATTTCATGTCAGCGCGGCCACTTCTGTGCGCGACCTCTCAAGATTTGGATGAAAGTTGAGGAGATTGAAGGTCTAGGTGAGATGAATATACGTGCAGCATATTTTGCCGATACGACGTAGGGTTGCCTATTTACACGGGACTTAAATTTAAAAAAATCGTCATACATACCTTTCTTTAGAGTGCTGTATCTTGGAAGCCTTTTAATGAAACATAATAATAAAAATGTATTTCTTCCGTCTTATTATGCTTATGGGCTTTAATTGTACATTTTTTACATTAATGTGCAACGTATAAAAAACGGAAAAAAATTAAGCAAACACTTTTCCTATTGAATTTTTTTATTATAGCATTTTTTTTTTAATTTTTATTTGACATAAAAACGTTGTCTATAATATCAACTCTAAGCACCCAAATGGGCGTAATGGGCTACTTATGCGTATGGACTCTAGATCGTCTAACGCTGGAGCAATATGATAAATAGACATTGAAATTTTATGAAATTGTATATTTTTGAAAGAGGAAAGCTGTGTAAAAAACAAAAGCAATGTGAATAAATGATATTAACTTTACTAAAGGCCTGAAATCATGAAAATCCCTTCAAGGAAATGGCAGAATTGAACTTTGTTGAAAGTTCGCATGGGAAATCTGCTTTCGACGTGATTGGAGAAATTTTAAGAGACTAGCAGCTAGAGCAAGTAATCAACTCCTGATGTTACAACAAATTCGTACACCCGAAGCCCTCTACCAATGGGGTGCTGTATGTTTTCAATGGGATGCCTGTAAAAGATAACTGCAACTAACTTTTCAGTGGAGTTTATTTCGACTATGACTATATGCCAATTACTTTAATCATATTTCAAGCTAGTTTAAAAGGTTAAATAACATCAAGTTAGGGGACTTCTTATCCTTATTTAACGAATCTTTAAATCAATAAAATTTTTTTTCTTTTTAGTTCTTATTGTAATAAAAGCGTGTTGTTGATTTTTTTAACTATAATTTTATTACTCTTTACGCGGGACCAAAATTTATATGTGTTATCTTCGACTGTAATAATAGCATTGACGTAGGGGTTGAGGCTCAGGAAATCTTATATAAAAATTTGCTTCCTACATTTAAGGACCACCCTAATATACATACATACACCCTAATATACATACATACATACATATGTCTATATCTCTTCCTTTAGGCTGTTACAAACAACTGTTATTTGAACAAGTTGTAAGTTTCTTTTGCACAAGGGCGCTAGGATATAAAAATATGCCTGTTTATTTCTTACCGGGAACTCAATGTATGTACATAAATAACATAAGCGCAAATAACTCAATAAGAACTTAGTGAAAAATCCTTCTTTTATTTTCAATGTAATGAGCTTAAAATGTCAAATTTTGTTTAACATTTTTGACATTTTAGAGTACAAAATCAGCAATAAAATATACGCCCCTCTGCTGCTATTGGCTTTTTAATGTGCATTAGTTGAGTTTGAATCATGTCGTTTATAGCTTGAACCACATTGGAAACGACGGGCTACAGACCCCAGCAGTCAAATTATTTTAACACGTACTCTTATGGAGATAATTATTTTGGCGACGACATGGCAACACTGCGACTTGCCAAAAATGTAGCTGTGGCCAGATTGGATCTATTTCTCTTTTTCTAGCGACAGATAAGATTCTTCCTCTTCTTTTATGTCAAACTCAAACAAATTCGTGGGCCGCTGCCGCGTTCAAAAAAATCATGTCGCCGTCGACAAGGCGTTTAGATTAAGTAGATAAAACCTCACAGGCAATATTCCCAAAGCTTTTCCAGCGAAAAGGCTCAATGGTCAAAAAATAAGGGCAAAGCAAAACTTCAATTAGGGTAAAAAAATATAAATTAACAAATCAAATATTTTTGGTCGTTATTATAACTTCATAACAGTGTCAATGTTTAACAACAACATTGAACAACTCAATTTATACTTCAGTAAATATTTTACGTAGACTTACAAAATCTAGTCAGCTTAAAAGAAAGTTTTGAGATGATTCCGTCTGATTGGTTTGTACAGTGAGGATTCGGTGTGAAATTGATAAGATAAGAAGTGGGTGCCCCCCCTTCCTCTGCTACCACCATGTTTAAAGTACATCCATCCTTGTATTCATGTTTTAAATAAAATTTATTAAAAAAAAAACTACAAATGAATGATCATATGTATTTCGTTACTACCATTATTCAAATGAAAATCTCATTAAGATATTATCACTTTATTATTATTCATAAATAAATTGACCACAAACACCATATAGCACGCAAGTGATATTAGTACCCCCATTAATAATTCGCTCGACCCACTAATTACTTTATTCCGTTTTCCATTGACATTGCGCAATGTATGTATGTATGTACATACATCTGTACATATATACATAGTTATTAGATTGTCATCATTCAATTTCAATTTTGACGTCCGAATAACTGCCGGCATTTGCTACTCAATCAGAAAATTAAATGAAATTAGTATGCAATTATTTATAAGTCGCCCTGTAGAAAATTTAGCATTCGCCCGATACCATCATGTACGAGTATTTTACAATAAACACAATGTCATTAGATATACATAGATACTAAGTAATAACGGTATATAACAGTTAGAGATGGGCGATTTCTATCATGACACATCGTAGCACGCTTTTTCACGCGTAAATGTGAGCGGTTTTGAATGAAAAGCACGAAACCTACATACCTGATCGTGCGTGATTGAAATTTTTGCTGGCATGAACGCGCGTGAGTTAAATTTTTCCGCCAATCACGCAATTTTCACATAGTTGTATTTTTAACCAAAATAGTATACTTATGGCAACTTAACGTAACTTACAAGCACTCATTTAAGCATTCTCTTAAATGGATGTTGCTTATAATTGAACAGCCGAAACTTAACTTAATGCCACGACGAATCTGTTATTTTGATTTTCTAAGTTCCGTTAAATTAAGTTGCCATAATCAGGCGAATGGTCTGATTATCGCCACTTAACGTAACTTACGGCTCTCTTAAAAATTCTGTTAAATGGATGTTGCTTATAATTGAACAGCCGAAACTTACGTAACTTAATGCCACGTCGAAATCTGTTTCATTTTGATTTTCTAAGTTCTACGTTCCGTTATGTTAAGTTAAGTTGCCCTAATCAGGCTTAAGCCTGGTTTTCATTAGGTCAGATTGTCGCCAGCCAAGTGAATACGGCCCTCGCCGCTGATGTGGCAGCATTTGACAACCGAAATGTATTTGCCAATATGTTGGCATTTTTTATTTCGTTTGCCATGCGAACAGCTGATTCTAGCTACAATACCGACCATTTAGCTACAAAAAAAAACAAAAATGCAGATCGATAGAACTTTTCGCGTTTACTTCAACCATAGCAAAAGTATTTGTGCCGAGTAAAAAACAAAGAAAATATAACAGGTTAAATTTCAACTTTCCTATTTTTTATATGCTTAATATCTCGGAAACTACTTGACCCATTCGAAAAGTATTGACCCCAATTCAAAGGTAATTTTAATACCTTTTTTACGACGTATTTACTATAACCATTTTTAAAACAGATTTTAGGTAAACGCCATTAAAAACATAGATATACATACAATTTCGATTTACTACTACTTTCGTTAAATTTTGGCTAATAAAAAACCTTTTTATGTAAGGTAATTACTTTTACTTTCTAAATAATATAAATTTCTGTAGCATTAATTACGCAATTTTCTTCAAAAAGGGTCATATTATGACAAAAATTTTTTTTTTTAGTATTTTTGACTTAAAAATATAAAAAATCATAAAAATTATGTACACCAGCTGAAAGATAAACTAATTATCTTTATTCTGACATCATTAGTTGTTTAATCGGTTATTGATATTTCAAAATATCGAAAAATTTAACTTAACCTCCTATATCATCTTAATTTCTTACATGCGCTAAAAAATTTTGGTAAGGTTAAAATCAGCATGAAGAGTTTCTTAAAGAACTTTTTGAAAAAGGTCCCCTCAGATGACAAAAAAGATGAAGCTTAAAAAATTTGCATAAAAACATTTAAAAATCTTTTCAACGGGATCGTAGGAATGAGATTTTTGATGCTGGTTTTTTACTTTTTTCAAAGACTTACGAAAAACTTGAATAACTGGGCCAAAATCATTCTGACTTAGACTTATTGGATCTCAGTAGAAAGGTATTTTCACATTGTTCTTATTTCTGTCAAAAAAAAGTCATTCGTGTCCCAATTTTTTTTTTTTTGTTCTCCAAATACCAACACATCTTAATTCAACTTTGAATAACATTCGTTCATGCTACCTTTCTCTTTAATCTTTTGAATGAGTTTATTAGCAAAGAAATAAAAAGGGTGAGAAAATACATTTCCAATGACACCTCTTAAGTCTAAATCGGAAGAGTTTAGGTTAGTTAAAAGTTAAAAACGGCATCAAAAATCTCATCATTATGATTATGTTCAAATTTTTTTTAACGTTTTTTTTCATGTTTTTGTGCAAATTTTTTAAGCAAAACGGTTTTGTCATTTGAGGGGAGCTTTTCAATAAAAATCTTTAAGAAACTATATTTATTCATAAAAAACTTCATTTTTGGAGGTATTTTCAAATCGGTCCAGCTCACTTAAATCTTAATATTCTTACGAAATTTGTAGGTGGACGTCTTAAGATATAAAAGATTTTATAATTCCAATGGAAAAAATAGTACCGATTTTATTTTTTTTGTATAGGGAGTGATGCAGTCTAATGTACATATGTAGAAGTGCCAGAATGCTTTATATTTATAGAAATTAATTAAAAGACAACTTATATTTAGTTAATATTGTTTATTGTAATTCTTGTTTGCTCTTTCTAAGGGAATATAAATTTTGTGATCTCTCCACGTAAACACTTCAAAATAGTGTATGCCGATTCACAATTATTTTTAATGCCCACACTTGCATCCTTGCACCTCATCAAACCGGCACGGTAATCCTCCTTGTAGCTATCGGGCAAAATTAAATCCACTTGTTTCAATGAGGCATCAAACAGGAATTTGCCCTTCTTCATCTAAGGTTGATATTCGAAATAATCATACATTAGGTATATGACTTTTTAACATATATTTACATACCTATGAGAAGATGATGAAAAACCCATAAAAATCACTTTTTTGACAACATTTGACTGCGATCAAAACTGGGGCTTTTTTTCAGTTGACTTGGAGTTTTCCATATATGCATATTATAAGTATATGCTTTTTTTACACAATTTTTATACATACTTTTTTTTACAAAAACATGGTTTAACCAAAACCATATAAATCAAACTTTCAAACTTTATACAGAGCTTAAAAAAATTCAACATATTTTCATTTAATCTTACAACTTTTTAATGCGATTTTTTGTAAATTTTTTGAGTATACAGTTTTATAGCCTGTTCATTTTCAGTATCATAAAGTGCGAATTCTAAGCAGCTGAAAAGCTGCGTTGATTTTTGTAATTTTTTTTTTCTGAAAAAAGTGTAAAAAGCCGCCAGCAAAAAACAAAATGTATTGAAAATCAAAGGAATTGTTTAACCGTTTTAAACTTGCACCTTACTGTAAAATCTAACAGGCTATAAAACTGCATACCCAAACATTTTTATAAAAAAATAACCAACAAGCTTTTACTTTAAGAACCTTGCAAATATTTAGCAAAAATCAGTATGTACTAATTTTTGCCCCCCACTGCACGTGTTACTGAAAACGCATTGCTCTAGTAGGTTAGGTACAACTAAGCCAATTTTAATTGGTGATTTCACTCATGAATACACTAGGCCGACGTAATCTAAGAACTTATGAAAGGTCTAGAGAATTCACTAGTTCCTCACTGGTGCGTCGTATTGAACGTTCGCTGTGTTACCTAGGTAACAGTCGTGTTATTAGAACTTCTGAACGGAAGTTAATGGTATCTAGTGAAATAGCTGGTGAATGCTTATCTTGTAACTATAAATTGATTACTGCTAATGTCATCCCCATGTTAAATTTATGGGTGATTTGCTTTGCTGGTAATCTGGTGGGTAGCTAGTGGTGGTTACCGATGAAGAGTGAATTCAAAAGTGTCCTATATTGTGTTTTTATTATTTCGAGATCAAAACATATTTAGAGGTCGCTCAAAGCGATTAAGTTTTCCATGTACAGTGAAACGCGCTTAAGTACCCCCCCCGCTTAAGTACCTAACCCGCTTAAGTACACAACATATTTGGGCAATGTGAATTTTTGAATGTAATCTGAAGAGAATCTCTCTGTTAAGTACCTCCCCCCTTATTTACCCAACCCAATTCCTTAAAATATTTAAATATTTTGAAATTCAGTGGCGGCGTTACACACCTTCGGGAAAAAATTATAAAAAATAAACGGTAATTTTCAGCTACTTGAAACTTGCACATTATTACACTTAAATCTATATCTAAAATCTGTATCTAAAATCTATAAAACTGTACACACAAAAAACACTTCTGAGAAAAAAAAATTAAAATTTTGGTGAATTTTTTCTTTAAGTTTTCTATAAAACCTTAAGCTTAGGTTTATATGGTATTTGTTAGGGAATGAGATGTATTTTAATAAAAAATTCTTAAATAATGCTACGGTTACTTTATTAAATGTTCATGCTTTATTCAAGGATTTACATATTTATGTGAGTCTACAAAAAAATGTAACTACATCAATAATTATGCTCGCTTAAGTATCCGCATAGAGGTTCTTTTAAGTACCGGGTTCTTTTAAGTACCCAACCCGCTTAAGTACCTCAAAAAGCTGACATTTTTCGTGAGGTACTTAACCAGGTTTTACTGTCGTAGAAAAGGTATAGGAGAATTCTTGAAAATCAATATTTTTAGATCGGAAAACTTTGCTTCATCTCAAGAGACTTCCAATAATAATAACCAATTGCTTATTTTATCATTTTCCAATACTGAGGACATTGCATTTTTAGGGGACTTATAAAACATAGTTAATATTGAAAAATGGTTAAATAAACATATGGCTATAGTATTTTTTTCGGCATAGAACAATCCTAGGGGGCAAGAGCATTAAATTCCGACTTTATCTTTTCTGCATGCATTTTTGGACCACTTTACTGTCCATACTTATGTATGTTTTCTTTCCCCCAGTACAAATTTTTCCTTTTACTAAATAGTGACAAAAACGTCATTTTCGTTGGTTTTTCATCATTCCACATACTCTCCGCATAGGTAGATATGTATATAAATTAAAATAAAAAAGTTAAAAACGTTCAGGCTTGGCGTGCAATACCACGTACATATACGCAAAACACTAGAAGAGTCTGCGATTGCGTATATTTTAAAATGCCTTTTACGCAGTTTGAACGACTTTTTTTTGTGAATTCTTGTTTGTATATTGTTTGAATTGTTGTTTGTATATTGTAAGTTTTTTACTTCCTTCTATAAGATTTAGGTTTGTATTGCATTTTGCGTATATGTACTTGGTATTCAACGCCAAACGATATGCCTAACATATAAACACATTATATGTATGTAGATTTAAATACGCAATAACTGTTGTTGTATTTACCGTTTGCATCATTTCTAATACACAATTAATGTAGCATTTTACATCTTTGTTGTTGTCCGGTATATTGCCGTCACGCAATTGATCAGCTAGTTCTGCAAAATAATGCACACTGCTTATATTGATTGTGAGAAACATGTTCTAAGCAGGGTTGCCAACTTTTGCATTCTTGAAACAATTAAACAAAATCAATTTCAATGCTTTACATATCTTAAAAATTTTTTATTTAGAACAACAAAACAATATAACATTTCATAGATACTTACATACATGAAAATTTTCATATATCGAAATCTCAGTGATAAATATCATAATTATAATAATTCGTTTAAACAACTTAAAAGATAATTCAAAATTGAAATAAAAATTACACCAAATTGTTAATTTCTATATACAGTGGGGAGCAAAAATTAGTACATGGTGATTTTTTAAAATATTTGCGAGAATTTTAAAGTTAAAATTTTTTGGTTATTTTTTATAAAAAAAACCAAAGCCATATAAATCAACAAACTTTATACAAAGCTTTGGAAAACTCAAAAAATTTTCATTAAAGTTTTAAGCAGCAGAAAAATCGCGTTGATTTTGAAGATTTGTTTGTTTTTGTGGATTTTTCCATATAGACCAATTCCATCTCAAATCATGCAATCCGACTCCGATTCACTTGAAATTTTAGTATATTATTCTACTTGGAAAATAAGCGCACACGTATTTTTTTATTTGTTGGTACCATCAAAATTGCATATTTTATGCACTTTTGAAAAATGATTCATCAAATTTCCATTTTCTAAAATCTAAAATTTTGTTGTTCTAATTCGTATTTTTACAGGCATTTGAAAATAACATCACCCATAGTATCGAAGAGATGTAAACTTTTTTCAAATGCCTGTAAAAATACGAATTAGAACAACAAAATTTTCGATTTTAGAGAAGGGAAATTTGTTGAGTGATTTTTCAAATGTGCATAAAACATGCAATTCCGATGATATCGAAAAATAAAAATATCGGAGTAAATCGGAGATAAATAACAAGTGTAATTTATAAAAACTGTCATTGATTTATTAATGTCCTTTGCAAAAGTTAAAACTTTGAATGAAAATTTGTTGAATTTTTCAACATTTATATATATATGGGTTTGGTCAAGCACGTAACATATATTTAACAAAAATCACGATGTACCAATTTTTCGCCCCACCTAACGTATACGTTGCACAAAACTCAGCAAAATTCAATCAATTTGCACAGCATTGTAGTAGTATAACTAAGTGCCAGTTTGAAGTTGGTAAAAAGTCGCGTTGAGTTTTGGTAATTTTCTTTAGGCTGTTTCTCAGAAAACAAGACTATCGAACGTACTTTACACTCGTGCTTGAGTTCTTTGTTTAAAATTCATTAAAAAAAGCTAACGCGTTTTGGATTTGGAACACAATTACAAATTTTCTTTACATCTGCTTTCAAGAAATCGCACACATACACATATACACACGCACGCTGTTGATTAGTAAATAGAATTTGTAAAATATACGTATTTTTCGAGTTTGTTTACAACGAGATATCTAATTTTCTTTACTTCTGTACCGGGACCGGGACCGGGACCGGGACATAGCGCTTAAATCCGGGACATTCCCGCCGAAAACAGGCCGGTTGGCAACCGTGGTTCTAAGCAATACATATCTGTGGACAATTGACAAAATAACCTCTTTCAAAATAACAAATTTTTCAGGAGCGAAAAAACATATTAAATGCTTTCCACAACATAAATTTCTTACAATGAAAAAAGCAAAAATGTTTGTTAAACTGGACACAATTCAATAAACAAGCATTTTGCAATACATTTTTTTATTTAAATATCATACTTTTTTAAATAAGTATATAAAAAGTATAAATAAGACCTTTCGTCAAATGCTTTTTTAAAAAAAACTCACCTTATTCCATACAAGTTGTTTTGGCAAATTGAGTTTGAGTAAAGTAGTAAATGGTTTTTTGCCTTGGGTCAACAAGTTTATTTAAGAAAGCAATTTTTTTTTAATATGCACTTGGCAAAACAACAGCAATCGAAAGAGGTTGTTGTGTCAAATGCAAATCGCAGAAATTGCACAGACGATAATAGAGACAATTTCTTTTGTTATAATTTTTCCGTTTGAAATTTGTTTACATTCCAACTCTTTGGAAATAAGATCTTTTGCAAACGCAATTTCGAAAAAATAAGAAAGAAGTTCATTATAAGACTGGCATAACTTTTATATTAAGAGCGTGTATGAATCGGTAACAAAGTTCGCGTAGAGTAAATTTTTAACAACTATGAGGTGAATAAAATTTCTGTAGCTCATGAGGCTAGTGAACTTTTTGACAAATGCATAGAAAATTTTGAAAATCGCAAAGATTGTTGATGTGTGTAATTTTTCGTTAAATAAATGTTTATGTTAATGGTAAATGTTTTCTTAAAATATTAATTTCTCTTCAATTTTTAATATTTCATGCCGCATAAATCTGCGGTTACCAAAAATTTACCGCTGTCAAAAAAGATTTGATTTCACACAGCAGATTGGCAAAACTGTCTTACCATAGTAAAAATATTATTCAACAGCTTTCCCCATAGAACTTTGTTACCGATTTACACACGCCCTAAATATCATATTAAAAAGTTTTTTTTCACTTTGTTTTAACATAGTTTAGTTTTTGTAAAGTTTTATAACTACATTGAAAATAAACATAAATGTTAAGGTAGCGATATGATTCTATGAAAAAACTCGTTTCATTTAAAGCAGGGATCACACGATTTGCACTTTTCTACAGTTACAGTGTTTGGAAAGTTGTTATTGAGCTGAAGTTCAGCCAGCCAATCGTCCCGATTTCGGCGGGACTGTCCCGGATTGAAAAACTATGCCCCGGTATTCTTACAGTTTCGAGCGTTTTCATTTATCCTAGAAAATTATATTTACCTCAAAAGGAAAGAACTCTTTTTTTTACGTGTAATTCCTATAGGAAAACTAAAGGCTCGACGCGGGACCACTTAAAATTGTCCTAGAGAGGGGATATTCGTGGAGGATCATTACTATACCAAATGCTAAAATTTTTGTGACGTGCATACATTCATTTGTATTTTTTATTGTTGAATACTTACTGGCAATTCTTAAAACTATCATTGTAACAATTGAAAAGATTCTTACTCAGCGTCTGAATTGGTTAGCGTGAGAAATATTGCATGATTGTCCTTATCACATCTTCAAGACGATTAGAGAATTACGTAAGAGTGTCGAATATTCTTGAAGTTTAATCAATTATGGATCGCTTATTCCTTTTTTATTTGAAATGTCTCTTGATCGTGTAACGGCACAGTTATGCTACTGATTTATATAGTTTTCTCGAAACCGATTGGAAACCTGTGCTTGAAACGGTTTGGGTTCGTTCTTTTTCTGGTCTAAACAACGGTTACGGCTTCGTTTTTGAAACATGAAACGGTTTTAAACGATTACGGTTTCGGCTTTGTTTTCAATCGCTTTTTTCATTGAAGTATCGTTTATGAAAATTTTTATGTACATATGTACATAAGTATGTATGTATCTATGAAATTTTATATTGTTTTGTTGTTCTGAATAAAAACTAATTTCAAAATAAAGCATTGAAATTGATGTCGTTTAATATGTTATTTTACCTACCCTCTTTCCTAACAGTGTATGTCCGGGTTTCAAGAATACAAAAGTTGGCAACCCTGAGCTGAATTCGTTATTTCTAGACAACAACACTTTACAAAGCTTAAAGCTATCTACCAATATAGTGTATGCATTTTTACCAATGCTAATTTTTGGAAATCTTGGCAGACACACGTCTCGCATTAACTTAGCTGTGGCCCACATCTGGTCCTCAGAAACCTATAAAAAACAAAAAAAATATATATTTACATATATGTATATAATAGCAATAGCAAAGGTTCTTAAGCGTTTGGCCAAAAATATAGAAGAAGGAATAAACATTTTTTTTTTCAGACCTATTTTCTTTCACTTTGGTCAGTTAACAAAATACGTAAGTAGTAAATGGGACCGCAATCCGACTTAAATTTTAGTATTTGGTATAGTAGTATTAGGTATAGCGGAAGAAAATAAGTTATTCTCTTTTGAGATCAATATAATTTTTTAGGATCAATCAAAACGTTTGAAACTATAAGAATACATTGATTATATGCCATTAAAGTATTATACAGGCTCAGATTCTTTATATTCCTAAATTATCCTTTTTAATCGCTTGTCCTGCTAAACCTAATAACAAAAAAATAAAATCGAATTTTGAGAATCTGAGCATGCATAGCACGTAAATGCACAGTGGACCAGAAGACTTGAAAAAGTGGCCAAAATGGTTGCTTGACTATTTAACCCTGAAAAAATCAGAAAAACATATTTTTATAGTATAGCTCAACGGTGGGCAAACGCGACACTTTAAGCCAAATGCGGCCCTTTGCTTAGTAAAATGCGGCTTTTTTTACTTGCACTTTCCTTAGAACATTTTGGCTCTTTTTACTTTTTAAAATACATATTTCTTTGCTGGAGTTTCTTTTCCATTGTGTTTTTTTTTCATTTTATTCTTTTTATATACACATACGCAAATTGAGATGGGATCATTACCCGCAATTGCAGAATGAAAATTGGCTTTCTGACCTAATGCTCTTTACCTATATGATGGAACATTTGCAAACCTTGAATTTGTCTCTGCAAGGAAAAATAAAATTGTTTTGTATTTGTCGCAAATTATTATTATTTTTTTTTTTGAAGCTAAACTACATACATCTTTTTATTCATGTTCTCAAAAAAAGAATATTTCATCATTTTCCGTGGCTATGAAAAAAATATTGCACATGACTTAAAAACGGATTTTGAAAAATGATTTGCCGATATGAAATTATTTAAATGTACTATATACTTCATAAACCCTTTTTTTGTAACATAATTGAGGATGAATTTACAATATCCGAAATACTCATTTAAAAAAAAAAAACGCAGAAGAAGAATTGGAGTTGTTGTAATCAGAAGAAGATAAGGCACTGGAGATGCAACATAAAGCTTTACCATTACTTGAATTCCGGCAACAAGTCCAGAAATAAAATATACGCTGTTGAAAACAGCTGGGTGCCGTGTATTTTCAATTTTTGTTACAAAGTATAACTGTCAAAATACAAAGTATAAAAGTCTAAGTACCGTTCACAATTTAACAGAACTGTTACGAACGGTTTTAACTGACGTAAAAGCAGATTTTGAAAATTTGGCCATAGCGATCTTTTGAATTTTCTTTAATATCTACACATCTGACAGAATAATAACAAAATTAATGTTTTACCTTTCTAATGATAATTTTATCTAAAAATTAAATTTTGTTTTTGTTCTTTGTTTTTGTAGCTCTTTGTAACATTTAGAATTTACATGTGGCTCTTTTCGGCCTCGGCCTTGTCCATCGAATAGAATCACGAGTCCAAAAATTATAAAAATCAGAGAGGCACGTACTCTGGTTTTAAGATTAAATAGCTTTAAACGTATTAACAATTTAACGATATTTTCTAGAAAAAAATTTTAAAAACAGGGTTGCCAGGAATATGAAAATTTATAATTATTCAAAGGCTCCACAGAATGCTTCAATTTCTATAGTAAAACTAACACCATTTCAAAATACAAAAAAATATTTTGGAGTGGAGCTGCCAGCTTTCTAAAAACTTACAATTACATTTATTACAAAATTTATTCTTATTTAATATTACAATACGGGTATCAAACGGAAGGTGTTTGAACAAGCTTAAAGACTAAAACATCTTTAAGTAGGGTCGCCTATCTATCAACTAACGCTATTATTTTTATACCCGCGCGCACTTGTGCACAAGGGTGTTATAACTTTGTTCACATAACGGTTGTTTGTAACAGGAAAACGAATCAAGATAGATATGGACAAATGTATACATAAATGATCAGAGAAAAGAAGAAATCGATTAAACGGTGACTGTCTGTCCGTCCGTTTGTGCACACGATAACTCAAGTAAAAATTGAGATATCTTAATGAAACTTGGTATGTGTACTTCTTTTCAGCGTAGGGCAGAAATGGCCAAAATCAGACAGTAACCACACTTATCTCCTATGTAACGGTAGTTTTCAGAAATACGAAAACTGCGATATTTTAATAACTACTGAAGCTTATTCACTCTTGACACGTACAATGATTTTTAGACGAAAAAAAAAATATTATAATTTTTGGAGAATGGGCGTAGCCACGCCCACTTGTGATTACATGTGTATGTCTTGGTAACCGCTCCATAGATTTTTCCCAAACCTAGCACAGTTGTTGGCCTTGGTACAACATACTAAACAGCTGGAAATATTTTAAAACCGGACAATAACCACGCCCACATCCCATATAACGGTTAAATCAGTAAATACTGAAGGTAATTTATACAAAATTGATGTTTGCAATATTTCTTTAGAAAAAAATACGTTTATGATAAAATTTTGGGAAATGGGCGTGCCACCGCCCACTTATTACCACATGTGTGTATCTCGGTAACCGTTCGTTCGTTGTACCAAACTCGGTTTAATTATTGTGCTTGCCACATAAAAGCAAAGTGTTGAAAATAATTGAAATCGGTGTAAAATTAAGCCCACTTTTTATATAACGGTAAATTTCAGAAACGCTTGGAACTTCAATATTCGAAATTTAAGGACGCTAATTTATTCAAAATTGATACAAACAACAATCCCTTGAAAAGTCGTAATATTAATATGGAATTTAGGAAAATGGGCACACATTATTGTAACTATATAAGTTAATCGAAGATATTTGAAATATTGGAAAACCAACCCTGCTTGCCATGTAGCGGTAGTTTTCGGAAAGGTAAAAAACCTAAATTTCTACTGTTCTCGAATTTAAATTCTTTTTTTTTTTTACTTAGCTTTTTTCCCTTCCTTTGCTTCTAGTTAATAGGTGGAATCACCCCCTTCAAGTTGTAATCTCCATTTTTCAAACGGCATAAACTGCAGTTAAGGCTTGGTGGAAATGGGCTATTATTTAATTTATAAAATTGATATATGAATTTTAAGAATTATTTCAAAATGTTACCTGTTATTAGCCTGAAAATTGCCACACTTGCAGTATCCAGGGTTTACTACGAGGAGGTTGCAGTAATAAAACACCCCAATTTTTAATTTATTTTTTAATATTTTTGTTTTTATTTTTTTTATTTCTTTTTTTGATAATTTAATTAGGGGAAAAAACTCAACAACATTAATAAAACAAAAAAGCTTTTATTAGTTCCAGTGTAATCATAGTCATCGGTGGTCCAGTATGTCTATATTTTAATTTTTTTAATAAAATCGAGTGATTACATATGTATGTATGTATGAAAAATTTAGAACTTCTCTATCTCTGTGGATGTTAAGGGAACCTGAACCTTTTAATCCTTGTGGTCCAGTTTTACTTCGTAAATATGATTTAAGCTTAAAAATGAGCGTTCGATAGAAGTCACTGTCACAGGAAGTGATGCCCCTATCTGCAAAGAATCGGTTTACCTTTGGGTATAAAATTATAATTGAGTAGTCCACTTGCAAAGTTTGCCATGTAAAATTTTTTCGGCTTTTAGTTGTTGGTGGATTACGTACCAGTATTTAAAGTAGTTTCCTGTCCACTAACAACACAGTGCAAAATCTTTTTATATTCTGAAAAAAATAGGAGCAAATGTTAACTCTTCTTCCAAAAGTCGCTATCATACTTATTTATAAACTTTCAAAAGTATACATCTTCTGATGAACTTAGAAAACTGCTTTAGCTCGTATAGGCTGTTAATGTTATCTTATGTCATGTTAAGTTGTGTTACAATTTTGTAAGGCTATTATTTATCAAAATTTTCAGGTAATAATAAAAAATATTCAATTTAAATGTTAGGCACTCCGCACATTAAGCTCCTAATCACAGAAGTGTAATCGTTTCGGCATACTAAAGTATAAAGCTTTTATGCCGAACCCATGTATTTCAATGAAGCTCTGTAGATTACGATTCAAAATCATGTTTGCGCCTAATCATTAAAGCTTCATGAATCGAAGCGCCCAACATTGTAAGGCGCTTGCAGTTTTGAAATCGTCATTTGTTTACTTTTTTGTGTTGGAAATAAAATATATTTGTCAATTCAATAGAAAATAATTGGAAATGAACGATTTCGTGCTAAAATTCGTGCAAATTGCATTAAACCACAAGCGTTTATGCAATATATCGGAGCAGAAAAATTTGCGGAAGTGTGTGTTGCGAAAGAACGGCCAAAAAATTTGTTTTGTGTAGAAAGTGTTTATTAGCTGGTGACTTATGCAGGGCGTGCAAGTGTCCAGAAGTCGAGTCGTCATGCATTCGTTTCGGTATGATGAAACGATTACTCTACTTTGATTAGGCGCGTAATCTGCCGAGTGCCTTATACTTGTTGTCGTAGTCGTTTTTTTTTTCATATTTATGGCTTTCTATTATAAAAACACATAACGCTGTTTGCAAGTGGACTACTCAATTGTGTGAAAATCAATTATCAAAATTTGTATGGAAACTCGTTTACGCATTTCTGATAAATTTCTCTAAAAACTTCACTGAATTATCTTGATAAACTTGATTTTCGGGACGCAGAAGGTTGTGAAATTACCGCCATCTTGAAAACAATGATGGTCAAAATTTTTTAGAACTTAGAGAAGCGACCATTTTTGGGCCTCAATCAACTACGCCGAATCGTTTGTAAATCTTTATACATGCTAGTAATTTTCCAATAAGATTTTCTCTATCTCATCATTATATACTGAGTCTGTAGGACTCGGTTAATTAATTTTTTCCCTACTCGACACTAGTCAGGTGAATTTTCGGCTGTC